GGGTGTGCAGACGCCCTCTGCACACTCCTCCATCTGACTCTGCAGCTGACTGTCGTAAGCCAACCTTGTAATTCCTTATACATTGTAAATCTTGTGTTAATATCTGTTCATTATATCTGTTCCTCTAAGTAAAACCCTGACCAATACAGGTCCATAGTGGTGGTGGGTTTTCTGTAGGACTGGCAATGTCAGAAGTTGCTGACTTGAGCCTTTTACATCTCAGCATATTAATATGGCTTTACTTTTTATACTTTGTTTTTATAAGACCAAGATAAAGCAAGACTTAGGGAAAAAAAAAAAAGACTTAGTTAGGATATATATATATATATATAAATATATATATATATATATTCTCTTAATATATATATATTCTCTTAATTCAGTGAAAAGGAAGATTTGTTCTCATAGTGTTTGTGGACAGGATGTCATGTTTGCAGTTTGTACTATGAGTAACCACTAAGAAGAAACAATATGCAATATATTAATTATTAAAACTGTCTCATTGCTATTTGTTTCTCTTCTTTTCTTTTTTTCTTTCTTTTTTTCTTTTTTTTTTTGCAGAACCGGGGATTGAACTCACGCCCTTGCACTTGCCAGGAAGTGCTTATTCTACTGAGCCATCTCCCCGGCCCCTGTTTCTCAATAAAATTATTTTAAAAATCCCATGTACACCCAAATAAATAATTAATTAATCAAAAGATAAATAAATAATATTTTAAAAGCCTAGTGGTTGTTTATTGTGTTTGTGAGGCAAGGTGTTGATATGCAGCTCAGACTGGCCTTGAGCTCACTTTGTAACCCAGGCTGGTCTCAAACTTTCAAGGGTTGGGGCCAGGAAGATAGCTCAGTAGAATAAGTGCTTGCCTGGCAAGCTCAGGGTCCTGAGTTCAATCCCTGGTACCAGAAACAAACAAACAAACAAACAAACAAACAAACAAAAAAGCCCCAAACTTACAAGGGTTCTCCTGCCTCAGTCCTGCAGTGCTCAGATTATAGGCATGTGGCACCATACTCAGCTATGTGCTTATTTTAATGTTTGTTTGTTTTTTGGCAGAACCAGAGATTGAACTCAGGCCCTTGTGCTTGCCAGGCAAGCACTTATTCTACTGAGCTATCTCCCCGGCCCCTATTTTAATGGTTTCTATAGGTGGCTTCAGTGGTCAGTTCATGCAGGCCACATCTTCCTTTTATTACAGGATTATGCACATGGAAGAAGTTCAGGAAAAAGGTGTTTTCTCACATCATGTTGTAGACGATTCTGTACACAGCGAAGGTCTGTGGGACGTGCAGGCTCTGCTCACATCCTGACGCATGTGCCTGAGGTTGTCAGCACCCAGGAGAATGCAGTACAGGCCTCATGGGTGCCAAGATGGTGAGCATGTCTGTCTGTGTCTGTGTGCATCTCTTTGGTTTTTTTTTTTATTTTTTAATTCTTTTTATTTTGTAAAGATTTATTTGTATTTTCAGGGATGTGTACATTCAACAAGAAATATCTGATCTTATTATATAGCTCCTTTTTAAACTAAACTGTTTGCAACATCATACAAAAATGTATAATAATTTCAAGTTTTTTTCAAACTAATAGATATCTTTTTTCTCCTCAATTATAGATCAAATAGTGAAATACAAATTGTATTAGAAATTCAACTAACTTTGTCAGGATTAAACAAGTTTAATTGCATAAATACTAAGGTGATGAAAAACTGATCTATATATGAGTAAGTTTTATTAATTTTTGTTTATTTTATTTTGTTTATTTATTTTTATTGAGAAATAAATATGAATGAGACAGTTTCACAGCTGATTAATAGGACAGTTTTTTTTAAAAAATTAATTTATTTGTGTGTGTGTGTGTGTGTGTGTGTGTGTGTGTGTGTGTGTGTGTGTATGTGGCCAGCTCAGCCCACCAGGGGGTGGGGCTGGCTGGCATGTGGTGCTGGGATATTGAACCGCGGTCCCTGTGCTTTGCTAAGCTTGTTCTAAGTAGGTGCTTTAGACCA